TGTGTTTTATTGACTATGCAATGGCATTTGCCTATGTGGGTCATGACAAATTATGGCTAAACTCGAAAAGAATGGGAATCCCAGAACACTTAATTGTGCTAATATGAAATCTGTATCTAGACCAAGAAGCTGTCATGTACCAGAGTCAGAACCCACCCATAGCTGATCCTCTGGCAGGTTTTCAGAGGCAGTTAATCACATGGGAGATTGCCCATCCTTTTCCCACGCAGCAGTTGGTACCTTGAACCGCATGCCTTTTGGATTATTGCCACTAGGTCACCAGAGTTCCCTAAAAGAACACTGTTGTTTGTTGTGGTATACTGTAGAGTCAGAACTGACCCACAGCTGACCCTCTGGTGGGTTTCCTGAGCTAGTTAATTGTATGGGAGGAGACTGCTCATCCTTCTTGAAACACATGCTTATGGAATTGCAATGCAGCTTCTTGCCACTAAGCCAAGAAAATACATGGTGTAAAATCAGGAAGGGTGTGCATTAGAATTGTATTATTTCTTTATACCTATTCAGTCTGTATGATGAGCAAATAATTCATGAATCCAGATTCTGTGAAGAAGAAAGTGGCATCAGAATTGGAGGAAGACTCATCAACAACCTGCATTATGCAGATGACACAACTTTGCTTACTGAAAGTGAAGAAGATATGAAATGCTTGCTGTAGAAGGTCAAGGACTTAAGAATGGATTACTTCTCAATATCAAGAAAACAAAGTTCCTCACCACAGGATCAACAACTAACATGATAGATGAAGAATTGATGCTCTCAATTATTTCAGTTCCTTGGATCAATAATCAACATCCTTGGTACCAGTATTCAGAAAATCAGGAGACATATTGCATTGGGCAAGTCTGCCTTCAGGGACCTCTCCAAAATGCTTTAGAGCAATGACATCAGTTTGTAGACTAAGGTGCACCTGATTCAGACCATAGTTTTCTCAATCACCTGATCTGCATCAGAGAGCTGGACAATGAATAAAGATGACAGAAGAGTAACTGATGCCTTTGAGTTGTGGTGCTGGAGAAGAGTATTTAATTTCCCATGGACTGCCAAAAGAAAAACTAGATACACGTCAGAGAAGGTGCAGACAGAGTGCTCCTTGGATACAAAGACAGTGAAGCTTCACCTTTCATACTTAGGACACGTAGGGAGGCAAGGATATTCCTTGGAAAAGGACTTCCTGCTTGAAAAGGTGGAAGGTCAGCAAAGGTGAGGAAGACCCTCCCCAATGAGATGGACTGACATGGTGACTTCAACAATGGGCTCAAGTTTTAGAGATGATGAGGCTAGTAAAGGGTTCAGGTTGGCTGTTCACAGGATTGCGAAGAGTTGTACTCAATCTGACCGCACCTATCAAGTTCACTGGTATCACAAGTAAAATTTTGCTGAAGATTACTACACAATACAAGAGGGGACTGCCTGAAACTCAAGCTGGATTTAAAAAATGGTTGCTGCATGAGGGATATCATTGCTGATAACAGATGGATCTTGGCTGAGAGCAGAGACTATCAGAGAGGGTTGTGTTTTATTGACTATGCAAAGGCATTTGACTGTGTGGATCATAACAAATTATGGATAATATTGAGAATAGGAACCTAGGACACTTAACTGTGCTCATGTCAAACCTATTCTGAACAGAACAAGAGAATATTGCATCGTTAAAAATCAGGAGAGGAGTGCCTCAAAGTTGTATCCTTTCCCCATACCTATTTAATCTGAACATTTAGCAAAGCATTCGAGTACTTATACATTCTATACAAAGAAGAATGTGGCAACAGGACTAGAGGATTCATCAACAGCCTAAGCTATGCAGATGACACAACCTTGCATCAAAAGTAAAGAACTGAAACACTGCAGAGGATTAATGACTAAAGCCTTCAAAATAGGTTACATCTTAGTAACAAGGAAACAACAAAATAAGTGAACTGAGGAAGAGAGGAGGAAAATGTGCATGAAAGAAATGAAAACCAATTTTTTGTAAACTTTCACTAAAATCAATCTCTCTCTCACACATACACACACACACACACACACACACACACATACACGAAGATAAAAATCCTCAACACTGGACCAAAAGACAACATCATATTAGGTGGACAAAGACTGAAGTTGTCAAATGATTATATCTTACTTGGTTCCATAAATACCCATTGTAGCAGTAGTCAAAAAATCAAATGACATGATGCACCAGGGAAAATCTTCTGCAAAGTACCTCTCTCAAGTGCTAAAAGACAAGCATGTGAGTAAAGGAGTACCTGATCCAAATAATATTTTCAAAATTGCTTCCTAAGCATCTCAACAATCAGTAAGAAAAACAGAAGATGAACTGGTATCTTTGAATTATGGTATTAACTATACCATGAAATGCCAAACGAACCATCCAAATTGTTTTCTAATCTTTCTGTCTAATGTGCCAACTAGAACACTAAGCATGATTAAGATAAACATATAAAAGTTATTAACAATGGTTTTTAATGAGATTGCCCATAATAAACATAAATTATTTCTAAAAATAAAAGTTTTAAGGCTTTCATGTCTTTTTTAAGGAGTTACATGGCTAATTTAAAGGCTATGCCTTCTCTGATGTATTAAACTTTGAGGGAGAAAGATAGGCAATCTTCTCCTGTGCTATTTACAGCATTCAAAATGCACTGTTTTGTCAGAAATTAGCTGGTTCTGACATAGCAGTAACGAGTCAGAGGTGTTTTTTTTAAACTTCACTTATGTCTAGTGTTGCCATTAATGTTAAAACTTTACATTGCAGAAGTGATTGTTGATGTTGACCCTTTGTGTAATAGCCCTCTCTGCTCTATCATGTGCCAACTTTATTGTCTCTAACACACCTACCCTTATTAGCCCAGTCACTGAATCAATCCGTCTCATCAACGGTCTTCCTCTCTTTATCTGTTCCTCCACCCTTCCAAGGTGATGTCTCTCTCCGAGGACTGGTCCCTCCTTATAACCTGCCCAAAGTATGTCAGATGAAGCCTCAGAATCCTTGCTTCCAAGGAGCAACCTGGTCTCACTCTAAGATGAACCTGTTTGTCCTCCTCGCAGTCCATGGTTTACTCAATACTATACTCCAGCACAACTCTATGGCATTACTTCTCCTTCTTCCACCCCTAGTCATTGTCCATCTTTCTGATGTATAGCATGTAATTGTGAAGACTATTGTCTGAATCAGGCACTCTTTAGTCTCCAGACTGAAACCGACGCTCTTCAATACTCTGGAAAGATTCCTTACAGCAAACTATTCCAACCCAATTTGTCTTTTTATTTCCTGGCTGCTGGTACTAAGAGTGTTGACTGCATGCCCACATATTTATAAAAATGTTCAAATTAATGCAGCAAATTACAGTTCCATATTTATCCTTTTTTCTTTAAGACTTGTTTTGAGGGAAGTCTTCCATCCTTCTCTCCAAACAAAACTTTCATAATCACCATCTCTTCACAATTGCAAATTAGTGGATGGTCAAAACAGAGATTCTTTTAATTCCTATCTCTCCTTAGCTTTTTTCAATTCAGCAAGTCAACTCAGAACTTAGCCTTCAGCAGATTTTCAGAGACTATAAATTGCAAAGATGGAGAATTCTTTTCTGTTAATCTTGAGTCTCAGATTTCTAGTTTCAAAAACTCCATTAAAACATGGGGTTCAATCCTCTTAAAATTCCAAGGCTGAAACAGTCTGCACTAACTGGGGAAAACTCCCAAAAAAACACAACCTGAAACCAAAAACACATTTCCACTACCTTCTCATTCTAGCTCTTTTCCCATTTCTTTTTTTTTTTTTTAAATAGTCTGATATGAAAAAACTAAAAAATCCTTTAGATATTTTATTTTGGATAACTTTCAACGTGGTTCTCTTATGCAGATTAAATTGTCATTTTTCATCAAATTTTAGACCTTTTATTCCTCCTCCATAAAACTGCATTTGTAACAATTTCCTAAAGGAGAATTTTACAGAAAACGACCGATAATCTCATTACTCAGAGATACGCGTGCAAGATGTATAATCGACACTCATGTTTTAATCTGATCTTTCTTTTCCCATTAAACTGGACACAGTCACTTGTAAAAAAATCCCAACCTTATTTTGTTGTCATTGGGAATGATATAGTTTCCTTTTACTAAATTTCAAAATAATGAGACTATTTTCAATATTTTGCTATTATAAAAAAGAGAAGTAAGTATCAAAATACGACCGTCAGGGGGACTGTAATAGTGCCACTGTGTAAAAAGAAAGAACATAAAGCAAACCCGTTTTTTTTTTCCAAGACAAGAAAAGCAAAAGAAAACGACTGTTTGCATTTGACAGCCACTGAAGATAAGGGTCTTTCTCCATGTTCCTAACTCGTACTTTTGGGTTTGCTCAAGTTCTTCGTGCAATTACCACGATAGCCTTTCTTCTGATTTCCCTTAAACTACTTGCACCCCGAGGTGAAATTTGCTTGCTCTTATCCTGCAACCCAGCCACTGGCGGGGCACCCCCACTTCGAAGCATTTTCTAGGAAGGCTTCAGGCCTTGGCGGACTTCGCATGTCCTGAATGATTTCGTTCTTTTCCACAGAAGATGGGTGCTCTGGGAGAGAATTCCCCAGGACGACCAGAGCCACAGACCTCATCCCAGCACAAAAGTTGCAGCAAATAATCCCGCCGAAGAGAAAGTTGTAGCGTTTAAGTCGGAAGTGTTACTGCCGCTGCCGGAAGTAGGCGTGCCAGAGCCGGAAGAGACCCAGAGCGGTCAGGAAGTGGCCTACCCCGAGGCCTAAAGAAGGCCTCGTTGGACTACACTTCCCGGAGTGCTGGTCGGGGTGCCTCCGGCAGGGGCCGAGGGCGGGCCGACGCGGCACCTTCAGACGTGTGGCATGAGACGCGCCCTTCCCCGGGCCGCGCGTGTCCTCTCTCTGCTCCGAGAATTGCGCCGCAAGGGGCCTAAGCGGCCGGGATCGTGAGAATCGCGCGAGATAGCGGCTACTGCGGCGGTCATGGAGGTGAGCGGGCCTGAGGACGATCCCTTCCTGTCTCAGTTTCATCAGGTGCAGTGCCCTGTGTGCCAGCAAATGATGCCTGCCACCCACATCAACTCGCATCTGGACCGCTGCCTCCTCTTGCACCCCGCAGGTCAGGCGGAGTCCGCAGCCGGGTCGCACAGCGCCGGAGAACCAGCCAAAGGGCCATCACCGCCGCTTGCCAAAAGGCGGCGGCACTCAGAGAGCTCTGCCCCAAAGCAGCCCGCCACCCCGACGGCGGCCGAGAGCAGCGAGGGCGAAGGCGAGGAGGGTGACGACGGCGAGACGGAGAGCCGGGAGAGCTACGACGCACCGCCCACGCCCAGCGGCGCCCGCCTCATTCCGGACTTCCCTGTGGCGCGGGTCAGCAGCCCGGGCAGAAAAGGGTCGGGCAAAAGGCCGGCCGCCTCGGCCGCTGCAGCGAGGAGCGCATCTCCACGGAGCTGGGACGAGGCAGAGGCGCAGGAGGAGGAAGAAGTGGTGGGAGACGGCGACGTGGACGGTGATGGCGAGGAAGACCAGGGGTCCTGGGATGCCGAGGCGGTGGACGCGGCCGCCACAGCAGCTTTTGGGGGCAGCGGCGGGGGGCGATCGCATTCGCTGGCGATGACCACTGAAGAGATCAGGCAGATGCTGGCGGGCAAGCCGCTGGCCGATAAGATGCGCCCTGGCACGCTGCAGGACTACATCGGGCAAAGCCGAGCTGTGGGGCAGGAGACGTTGCTCAGGTCCCTCCTGGAGACGAACGAAATCCCCTCATTAATTTTGTGGGGGCCGCCAGGCTGTGGCAAGGTGAGTGCAGCCTCAGCAGCAGTGTTCTAGGGCCACGCTCTGTGATGAGAATTGGCTTGGAAAGATCAGAGTGGGCCCAGCAGTGGAAGGTATCTCAATTCTTCGAGGAGCTGCTGTTTGCCAGCTCCTTGACTCACCTGGATGGATAGTAAGGTTCCTATGTTACCCAAGAGTGGAGTCTAAAGTTCTAGGAAAAGGCTTCTCCTGCTGCCTCTCTCTGAGATCCTAAGGACTTGTGCTGGTGTCTCAGAATTAAGATGAATATAAATTCATAGTGCGTGATTATCTGTACTCTTGTATATGATCTTTCCACCCTACCTCCTCACCTTTCCTGAAAGAAACAGTTGTTGGTAGGTGCCATCAAGTCATCTATCACTCACAGCAATCCTGTGAACAACAAATCTGAACTTTGCTATACACCATCCTCATGATCGCTAATATTCTTTAGCTCATTGTTAACAGTCAATTTTTCTTGCTGAGGGTCTCACTGTCACACAGTATGTATAACCTTTCCCAGTATGATGCCCCTTTCCAAGGACTGTCCCTTTCTGACTACATGCCCCAAAATACTTTTTCTTCAAGGAGCATTCAGGTTTGCACTACTCCAAATCATACTTGTTTGTTCTTTTGGAAGTCTGTGGGATGGATATTTAGTATTATTCTGCAGCACTCAACTCTGAAGCATCGATTTTTTTCCTTTCATCCTTATTTACTGTCTGACTTTCAGACTCTGAAGGTATTTGAAAAGATCATGGCTTGGATCAGGTACATCTAGTCTTTCAATTGACATCCCTGTTCTTTAGCACTTTGGGAAGGACCATGACAGATTTTTCCAATGTAACACATTTTTTTATTTCATGACTGATGTACTCTGGATGTTTAAATGTAGATCCAGATAAAATAAGATCAATCACAACTTCAGTCTTTTCAATTTTGATTATTAGTTATCCTTACAGATTTATTCGTTTAGCAGGACTACAGTGAAACATCCATCCCTCTGAAGTAATTTTCAGCTATCATTTCAAAACCTTTCCTCACAATACTTACAAAGACATACCAATACATTCTTTTGTCATGTTGTTTTAGAAATGTACTCAAGTTCTAAGAACCACAACATTTCCTGTTGGTTAAATGGTGAGGATTTTTGTTTTCTTGAGGTTGAGATGTATGAAATCTATATTGAAGGCTATAAACTTTGATCTCCTTCAACAAGTGTTGAAGTCCTCTTTTTGCAAGCAAGGTTGTGTTACCTGTCTACATATCTAAGGCTGTTGATAAGTCTTCTTGTCACATTCTTCATATAGTCCAACTTCTCAAATAATTTGCCCAGCATACTGAATGTTGTTGTTGATTGCCTTCAATTCGAGCATGACTCATAGTGACCCTGTGAACAAAAGGCCTGAAGCCCGTCTACAACTATTGACATTTATCAAAGTTCCCGAGGCATGTTTAGGAAGAAGATGCCACTCCTGCTTCGAAACCTGTCATAGTATGTTATTGTTTTTATGTGCCGTTCCTGTTCTGAGCCAGTCTGACTAAAGTCACTGTATCAATCCATCTCACCCAGGGTCTTCCTCTCCTGAACTATCCGCCTTTCTACAAGGACCGATCTCTCCTGGTCACATGCGCAAAGTGAGGCGGAGCTTCAAAATCTTAGCCTCCAAGGAAAGACTTGGTTTCACCCTCATTTTGTTTTCTTGGCAGTCCATGGTATGTTAATGACTCTTCTCTAGCACCACAACTCAAAGGCATCTATTCTTCTGTCATCCTTAGATATTGTCCAACTCTCAGAAGCATATGAAGAAAAAAAATACAACCCAGATGTACATCTATCCTTATTTTAAAGCATGAAGTGTTGGATTGTTCTTTTCGGACAACAGCTTCTTGGTCTAGTTGTTGGTTTCACAACAGCTTCTTGGTCTAGTTAATAGGTTTCACATGAGCATGATTAAGTATTCTGCAATTCTTGTTCTTAATGTTTTCTGTAATGTTTTTATGATCCACACAGTGTGATGTCTTTGCATAGTCAATAAAACATAAGCATTTTCTCTTTTTCTTTACTTTTAGCCAAGATTCATCTGTCATCACTAGTGATTTCCCTGATGTTAGAAACAACATGTTATTTTTATATTGTGTTTCTTACACTTCCCTCTCACCATTTTTTACTTTATAATTCTAATTTTTTAGTTATCCTTAAAGATTGGTTAACAGGGTTACAGTAAAACATTCATCCCTGTGAAGACATGTTCAGCTAGCATTTCAATAAGTTTTCTCACAGTGCCTTACACTTTAGACAAAGAAACATTAATGCATTAAAGTGTCACGCAGTGTTAGAAATTCTCACAAGTTCTGAGATGGTTAATCAGAAGTTTACACAAGTTCTAAGAAGCTTAATGTGAGTCTGGAAAGCATGCCATTGGAAGGATACTTGGAAGAAACTAGGGAGATAGAGCTTAAAGGTAAAGAAAACTAAGAGCTGTTCAAATGTATGATATTTGAAATCTGTATGAAGGAAAAACCTAGTAAGTGTAAGGAAAATACAGGCTCAAATTTCATAGGTTTCCCTTAGTTTTGAGGTTCAGATCACTTAGAATCCAGGACATTTAGAATTTTTCTTCCTACTTCTTACAACTTAACTATACCACTGTCTATTTCATCTGCCTGAATTGCTTCTTGATTTCGCATAGCTTTTCCCTTTGGTTAGAATAAGATCTATCCCAAATAGCATTTACACAATTAGTGGAGTTGTTGATATCTAGCCCTCTGAATTTAGGGTGTTACCTTACTTAAGAAATTGGACAATGGCATTCATCATACTTGTCCATGAATTCTTTTCATTATGAATATGGATAATCAGTTGTTGGGTGTCCCTGATGTCAAGGAAAAAATCTTCCTAGGAAATGAGGAAGGGTGAGTGGATAGAAAATTCAGTTAGAGTCAGTGGGCCTACCTGCTCCGTGTTAGCTGATGAGCAGGCTCAAACCTAGTCACTCACTATCTGACTCCTAGAAGAGTGGGCTGGGCTTTGATAAGTGGATGCACAGCTTTTAGAAAATTCTTTCTTCTCCTCTCCCCTCTCCTCATCCCTATGGACTTGTCTGTCTTTGAATGTCCTTCTGTGTTACTTTGTTAAACTGCTGCCAATAATACTAGTATTTATAACAGCATGAACTTGTGGAGCACCTGAGCAATGCTTTCCTTCAATCTCATGTTGTCTGTTAAATGTTAGCACGAACAGTGTGCTGTCACTTCATCCATTTCTAAAGAAAAAGTTCAAGATTGCCATGCAGTCTTCTTGAATATTAGCCATCTTTCAACTCAGAGTCTTATTCACTTTTCTTAGGGTGGAATAAGAGTGAAACTGCAGTGGAGAACTTCTAGTGACAATGTTAATTCTGTGCTGTCCAGTTCTTCACCTAGGTTCATTAAGTAGTAATATTTTCTTGGGTGCCGGAAAAATAATTTTCTCTTTAATGAGAGATGACAGCTGTGTGTCACACTGTTAAGTCAAGATAGCCGCTCTGCTCTTTTTTACTAGGAATTCAAAGATCTTAGAGTCTCAAGAAAGGGTTACAAAGGAAAAAAGACCAAGATTAACTTCTTTAATTTTTCTTTTTAAAAGTGCCTAATAGTTTATCGCTGGTCTTAAGTATTCACATAGTTTCAAGTGATTAGTTAAATGGTGATGCATCTCTCTGTTAGTACTTATGGGCAGTTAACACTGATCTGCTTCCTAAGCTCTGTTTGTCATCTCTTCTAGACCACTCTGGCTCACATAATTGCAAACAACAGCAAGAAGCACAGCATAAGGTTTGTGACACTGTCTGCAACAAATGCCAAGACAAATGATGTGCGAGATGTTATAAAGCAAGCTCAAAATGAAAAAAACTTTTTCAAAAGGAAAACTATCCTTTTTATTGATGAGATTCATCGGTTCAATAAGTCTCAGCAGGTATATTAACTTTTTTGTCCTTTTGACTCTGTGAACATCAAGTAGTTGTGAAATCACTTTACAAAGTATAAAGTTCTGTAAACATGCTTTGTGTTTATATTGTCACTATTAACTTGGTCTGCGAAGAAACAGACTCGCCACCTGTCTGCTTCAATCCTATTTTGTCCACATTTTTCTTTAAATATTTGTGTTGTGAATTTTTGTTTAATAAAAGTGATCTTGATGTGATAACAGTTGGCTTATAGATTAAATTTTTAATTTATTGTTCTATCAAGTTAATTTTTTACTCTTAATTATTCAGTGTTACAGTAAGTGTCCCCACAGGATTTTCTTGCCTGTAATTTACAGGAGCAAATCTCCAGTTTTTTACTAAGTGGATTTGTATCCATGACCTTTTGATTGTCGGCTAGGTACCACCACTAAGGCTTCTTGTTCTGGTTTTTAGAGTTTTAAAATATTTATAGTGAGCAGTTTACGTTAATTTTAAGATTATTAAAATATGTTTTACTTCTCTCCTATAGAGTTTACAATTGTATTTTCAAAAATCTGTATTTCATGTGACTCCAGGCGCTGATCAAGGTGATTGTTAAAGGATCTACTAGTTTCTACTTACTTACCTGACTTTCTGAGATAAAAATAAAAGAACATAGTTGGCTTTTATAAACAAAGCCACTACTAAAGACATTAAATTTTCTTTTTAGCTATACTTTTTCCTTAGATATTTATATTTGAAGTTTTATAATCCTTGTTGTTGTTGTTGTTATGTGCCGTCGAGTCGCCTGCGACTCATAGCGACCCTATGTACAACAGCCCTAAACTCCGCTCTGTCCTGTGCCAATCGCACTGTCTCTGACACTCCCATCCCAATTATCCCAGTCACTGAATCAATCCACCTCATAGAGGGCCTTCCTCTCCTGCGCCGTCCCTCCACCCTCCCAAGCATGATGTCCCTCTCCTAGATAAAAATATTTCCCAGAACCATAGCAAGGTTCCTTTTCCTGAGTTAAGTCTCTTCTGAATAAAAAGACTTTTTAACATTCTGACTTTAGGTTTAATATTGGGTCACTGACTCATGTAAACATTTCTTCTCTCCAAGACAGCATGTTTGTGAGTCTGTTAGGAAAAGTAACAGTGTTTAAATATTTGTGGTGGAAAATGATTTTGCAAATGGTGATTAAATATTTTTTTTTCATTTTCTTAGTCATATGCCCTTTTCAGATGCTTATCTGTGTTAAAAACAAAAACCCAAAAAACAACCCCAAACTATTTTTATTAAAACCAAAGTAGAATTCCCTCAACATTATTAGTTTGCTAATGAAAAACCACGCTGAAAGACTGGCATCCAAAGACATATTTGGACTTAAAGTTAAGACTGACATTCTCCAACTGTTAAGCTCCTATTCAGTCATCTAAGGTAGCTTGCCATCTATAAACTAAAAAGATAAAAGTTAGGAAAGGAAGGAAGGAAGTGATAAACAACTTACATAGTAGTCTGTGGGTGGTTATTTATGGGAATCCATTTCTTCTGTTTTCCTCCCATGATCAGGATACTTTTCTTCCTCACGTGGAACGTGGGACAATTACCCTGATTGGAGCCACCACAGAAAACCCTTCCTTCCAGGTCAATGCGGCTCTTCTGAGCCGCTGCCGTGTGATTGTTCTTGAGAAGCTTCCAGTAGAGGCAATGGTGACGATTTTAATGCGAGCAATCAACTCCCTGGGAATCCATATCCTGGACTCAAGCCGGCCCACTGACCCACTGAGCCACAGCAGCAACACCACTTCTGAGTAAGTCAGTTATGGAGAGTCTGGAGAGCACACACTGCCCAAAGAATCTCCTGGCAGGAGGCCAAGAATGGCTGGCGTCTGTAAAGGGGTGGAGAGAGGGAGCAGAATATGTTCCTCTTGTAGTAAAGAGAATAAAGGAGGAACCCAGTACTAAATTATTTCAACAAGTATGTATATGCAAACATTTCTTTCACTTTAAAATTATTTTTAGCTTGGAACTGTAACAATAGTATCTATAATTCTTCAATCTTTGCATTGTCTTGCCTGATATCTTAGTTCCTGAATATGAGCTTTTCTTCTTAGGGATTGGTTCTTAGAAACCTTTTCAGATTGCGTCCAGATTCCAAAATCTTTTTTTCTAACTATTTATTACTCTTTAAAAAAGTTAATGTAAACTTTAATGGAAAAAATTAAAACACATTTAGAATAATGTATTCTCTAAATACTGGGTTGCATGCAAGTAAAGAAATGCTAATAGTAATGGCCTTATTACAGACTGTTCTATCCCTTTTGATGATCTGTTTCTTCAGCCTGAGTGGCATGAGTGTATTAATATGAGCATTTGTGTCATGAATAACCACTTAGATTATTTGGATCAGAAGGTTCTTTATTTAATTAAGGTATAGTCTTCAAATGTTACTTACCCATGTTTTCTGAAATAACTCAGTGAAACTTAATCTCTTTGGAGAGAAACTAATGCCCCTCCTTGTATTGCATGCTCCACAGCTGCTGCTGCTGCTGCTGCTGCTGCTGCTGCCCTGAGGCTAAGTCCTGGAGACACTTTTCTTCAGGAATTAAAAGTACAAGGCATAGCTTTAGGCTCAAGTTTTAGATTTCAGCATTCTCTTTATACATCTGACCTCTCTCATTTACAGTAAGAACTTGCTGTCCCTAGTGACAGCCTTGAAACATTTGGCCAGGCAGAACGAACTAGCGTCATTCTAGAATAGATTAGGATGAGATAGCCTTCAGAATTGTGGTGAAGAATGTGTAATAGACTTTCTCTAAACACTAATTTTGTACAGATTTTTAACAGGCCCTTTGTGCTGGTTTCTCATCAGTTTGATGGTACCCAATGCTGACACCTAGTATCTAGAAGACCTTTTTTTTTAAACAAAATATTTGCCACAAAACCAAGTAATATATTCGAAGTACTGAACCAAGTATATAACCAAGTAATAAAAATAGAGAAGGTGGAGAAAATCTTTTTTAACATAGTCGCTACTGACATTTTGTTGCATTTCCTTTTTTTTTACCCTCTCTCTGCTTTTCTGTAAGCTGGCTATCATCATTTATCTCCAATCCTATTTCTGTGTATTTACCTTATTTAGGATAATTTCTTTTTCTCGTTCCATTGTTTCCTGAGATTTAGTTTTTCAGATACCTCTAGGCTTTCCTGTCCCTAGTCAGTACCAGGATATTAAATAATGTGTCTGGCTTTGGAGTGGACTAAGAAAGCAGTAGTAGCTTGGTGTTTTGTCTTTGTAAAGAGGAGTTCTACAGTCTAAGAGTCTCTAAGTGATATATACACACATTGAAGTTCCAAAAGGTCAAATGAAAGCATTCTTTTACTTAGTGAAACGAAATCAACCTAGTGATTTGTAGACCACTAAAATTACATTTCAGGTAGACATGACTTTCCATGTGTAGAAATTCCTTAATTTCACTAGCATTAATAGTGGTTTCTAATGGATCCTGACACTTCTTACTCTTTTCTCGCTATCATCCCTAAATTTAAGTCTTGTTTACTTATTTATATTTTTGGCTGTATACTTGGGAGCTTTCTAAAGACAGGAACTTGTCCTTGTTCATATACTTAACACTCAGCACAGTGCATGACATACATTCTGATAAATGGTTACTAAATTAGCTTTCAGTAGGGGAGACATAGTTTAATTTTAGGGGAGATGAGAAAAAGGGATTTTATACTAGCATAAAGGATAATTGTCTCATTGTCTAGATAGGGAAAACTTTTGCTTTAATGTCATTGTTCTTCTCATCAGGGAACACATGAAGTTTAAACACACTAAACTTTTATCCAGTGACTGGGTAATGGTTATTAAATACCATTAGATTGTCTCTGATTCACAGCAGCCTTATTTATATACAAAAGAGAGAAAGCCTCATCCAGTCCTGTGTCATCCTCACAATCTACTGCACTTGTAAGCTCTTTGATTTAGTCACTGTGCCAGTCCACCTCACTGTGGTTCCTCCTTTTTTTTTTTAATCCTATACTTTGCCAAGTAGTCCAGGAACTACTGTCCTGATAGCTTCTTCAAAGTTTGTGAGATGAAGGCCCACATACATTCTGGCTGCATTTCTTCCAAGAAAGTTTCTTCTTTAGTAGTTCATAATGTTGTTTCTCTTGTCAAGTCAGTACTGACTCATCACTGACCTTGCATCAGGTTTTAACACTTTGTAAATCGCATGGGAGAAGATTTCCTATCTGTATGTGTTAAATTTTATTATGTGCACTGAGGATGATTAAGTTCTCAACACTATTTTCTCATTGGAGAGCCAAGTAAGTAACTTAAACATTTTTTTTTTCTCAAAAACAAGACCTACCTCATCATTTACTTAAGTTCTTCTCTCTGGCTATAAACAAAGCAGAACTAAATTAGTGTGTTTTCTTGCCATTGAAAAAGTAGTTGACGTGGTATTGTGACATCAGGGCAAAAATAACACAAAGACTACTAATTTTTTATATGTTAGTATTTCATAAAGGCAGAAAATATTAGGCTGTTTATATTTCAAGTATATTTTTTTAAAAAAATGCTTATTAACCCAAAGAGAAATGTATTTTGTACTCCGTATAGAAAAAATCAGTAGTTGTATGTTTGCTGTTTTGTTGAAAGTTTGACAAAATAGTATTTAATGTGCTCTTTAGAGGTACTTGTGTGTACACATAATTCAGATTTTCTTAAAAGTCTTAGAAAATTGCAAGATCTTGGGAAAAGAAAAAATATTAGAACTTTGCTCAGTCAACAAAATAGTGGATGGTTGCCAATTTTATTAGTGGGTTACAGCATTTTAATTATTTAAAACCTACCTTTGTGTAGCTGAAAGTCAAAATGTACATTAAACTAAAACTGTTGTCACAGCTTGATGTCATACTAAATGTAATTGACCTCTTCAGAATTCTACTCAAACTGCATTTTGACTCACTTCTTATAGCCCATGTAGTAAATTAAGAAGGGAGTGCATCAGTGTTGTATTCTCTATCCATACCTATTCTGTATGCTAAACAAAATATTTGAGAAGCTGGACTCTGCAAAGAAGAATGTGGCATCAAGATCGGAGGAGGACTCATCAGTAACCTGCATTATGGAGATAATACAGCCTTGCTTGCTTAAAGTGACAAGGACTTAAAGCATTTTTTTTCAGAAGATCAAGGGGATACATCGATATGGATTGCATCTCAGTATCAAGAAAACAATGGTTCTTACCACTAGGCCAGTAGGCATCGTCATGATAGATGGAGAAAAGATTGAAGCTGTCAGCAACTGCATCTTAACTTGGATCCATAATCAACACCCTTGGTACAGCAGTCAGGAAATTAGGAGATGCATTGTACTGTGAATGTCTGCTATTAGAGACCTCTCCAAATTACTGAGGAATAATGATGTCTGTTTGAGGACTAAGGTGTGTCTGAGGCCATGGTCTTTCCAATCACTTGCATCAGAGAGCCGGACAGTGAATAAAGATGACAGAAGATTTGATGTCTTTGAGCTGTGGTGTTGGAGAAGAGGACTGAACATCTGACAGACTGCTGAAAAAACAAACAGGTATGTCTCAGAAAGTGCAGCCAGAGTTTTCTTTGTGGAGGCAAAGATGACAAAGTTCATTTTACATACTTCGGGCATGTTGCTAGGAGGGTCTGTTCCTTGGAGAGGGATATGATACACAAAAATGCAGAAGGTCACAGCGAAGGAGAGGAAGACCCTTAACCAGATGAATTGACACAGTGACTACCACGGTGAGCTGTAGAATGTCAGGACGTATGAGGATGGTACAGGATAGGATAGGGTTTAGATCTGTTGTTTATAGGGTCTTTATGGGCCATTCTCGACAGTACCTAACAATAATTAATAGCTCGAGTGACCTCAGTGGGAATTCAAGACTTAGTGCTGATCATCACTCAACATGTCAGTTTCTTATAACCTCTGTAAAATTTTAAGGGGTAGTGATAGCATTTGTGGAATAAATCTTACTTGATCACTAATAACCAGCCTAGTATCTATCTGTCCAGCAGAACCCGTAGTGAAATAGTTCAAGGTTCACAGCCCTTCAGTGATTACAGGCAAGTGTTCCAGAAGCCCAGTCATAAGGAAGAGGGAGTTACAGCATAGTACAAAGCACAGTATAAAATTGTTATTTAGTGTTCCACATAGAAATTACTGACGCCTTTGAATAAACAGTTGTTTAGGTATTAGCCACTTAAATATATCACTAAGATAAACTGTATAAACATGCTAAAACCCTGTATGTTTAAATAAAATTTCCATGGTACAAAAATCAAATCCTGGAGATATTTGTACAGATTGCTTTTTTTACATTATGTCTTACACTTGCCAAATATTTATAATATTAAGGAGGTAAATACATTTTTATGCAGAGAAAAAAAATAATCTGAAATGATAAAATGTGAGCCTTCAGTCTGTGTGAGGCACTCCTGAAGCAACCATGATTGGCCATCTCTCTTTTTTTTTAAAAAAAAAATAACTAGTTTATTTACAAAACTAGAATACATTGTTTCTCACACAAGTTCCTCCCCATTTCCCTAGTCCTTCCATCAAATGTGTGAAGTCATGATTAATTTTCTCCCAGCTCATTCTCACCCCTCTGCTTCTACCTTCCCTTGGAAGGAGCAACTGGTGGATTCAAACCACCTGCCTTTGAATAGACAGTGCCGCTTCCTACCCACTAGACCACCAGAGCTTCCTTAATATTTACTCCTTTGATATTCCTTATTCATTGTCCAGCTTTCACCTACATATGAG